ATTTGCTAGACGCAACCAGGTGGTATGGGGGACCCTCGCCTGCTCCGGGCATCAAGTGAAAGTGGTGGCCTTAGCCATTGTTTTCCTCTGGTAAGTGTGCTAATTTGGCATATGTTTGCGCAATTATTCGGCTCAAACCGACTGAGTCAACATGTCGAGCCAGCAACGACCTGGTATAATGCCACATGATCATGACCGGCTGAATATTACATGCCGGCAAACCTAACTCATTATGAAGACCTCGCTCAACTGGAGGACGACATTGTCAGTTTTCTGCCAATGGTGTCGGACATTGAGGTATTTGGCTGTGAGGCCGACCCATTCGATCCGAATACCCAGCTACCGCTATCAGAGAACTTCCATACCGCTCTACTGCAGCGAAACAAGCTGCAGATAATCATACGGCCCTGCGTGGAGGAAGGCCACTCGGTTTGGCAATTCCAAGATAGCGACAGGGAGGGATATCCCAAAGCAGTTCGAGTCCCCATCAATGCTCGCAAAGAAGTAGCAGATCGAGCCTTCTATGCAGCGCCGATGCTCCGACATGTAGAAGTGGCGGCGGGGATGAAGCACATTGGTTTTGCTGCGTGGCAAGGCTGCCAACAGCTGCAGATAGTAAAGCTACCACTTTCGGTCGTTAGCCTTGAGGATGGAGTTTTCCAAGGCTGCTATGTCCTTAAGGAGGTCGTAGCCCCTGGGTGTGTTCAGTTCAGCCGAAGAGTCTTTGCCGAGCGCTGCTCGCTCTGTAGAGTGGGCATTGGCAGCGACATAGAAACCACCAATGATCTGGCACTCGGGGCGCAACTGGGCCCCTTTGCTTTCGAAAGTTGCCTTGCGCTCACGTCGATCAACTTCGTGATGGACCAAACCAATAGGTCTAGAACGCTGCCAGATGGCAGTTTTTGCGGAGCTGGCGTCGAGAGCCTCTGCCTTCCATGCGGCTTTCGCAACATTGGCCCGAAGGCCTGTGAAAACTGCAAGCGACTAGTGGAGGTTAACCTTATGTGCACGGAAATCACGGCCATCTGGAAATCCACCTTCGCACATTGTGTGGCCTTGGCTGACATATGGCTTCCGCCAAAGCTGCAGCGAATTGGCAAGGAAGCCTTCCTTTGTTGTACATCGCTTCGTGAGCTTGTTATCCCAACAGAACTACGCTACCTAGGCATTCGAGCTTTCTGCGGATGTGAGCAACTAGCGCTTTTCACACTCCTAGACTGTGGAGATTTTGAAAGAACCATCCAAGCAGAAAATAATGCGTTCTTGATGTGTGATAACTTCGACAGAGCGTCTTGGGTAGAACTGCTCCCACCGGGGCATCCAGACTCAGATGCTTTTGATGAAGAGCTCCATACCGAACTCCCCTGATTAGCTACCCGGGTCCGCCTGCAAGGTAGTGATCCAGGGTGGGTGCCTTAGCACTTGTCCTGAGCAAGATACCCCCACCCCGCCCGACTTGGTGCCTGCTTTTTGCTTATGTCACACACCCTGCCACCGGCTTGTTTGTCAGTAAACTTCAGGAATAGGCTAAATGGCGGGGGGGTGCCTTAGCACTTGCCCTAGGTCAATGGATTCACGCTCAGAGGAATTCCATCTCAGAGACAAGTAACCTCTAGGCTGGAGAAGCCATGTTCCCATGCCCTGAGTAGCCAAAGGATGATGACATGTACTTGCCACTAAGGTCACGCTAAGTTTTCTTTTGGCTCACTCAGTGATCCTCTCCAGTAGTTCGCACATGGCGACTCCTCCTTCCTGCGAGGCTAGCTCTCCTTGGGAACGCGAACCGGTTATGGAGACCAGCAGAAATGCTCTGGCACTTTTGCAGACTGTTGTCATGTCATTTGGACGCAATCAGTACCTGGGCAAGCCAGACCTGCCGATAAACCATGTGCACGTGTACTTCCCTGTCCAGGTGGTTCATAAGCTTGTGGAGCGCTGTTGTGCCCTGCGCCTCCAAGATGTTACCCCACAGGAGGGGAACGGTATAAGTACATAATTGTTCGAGCATATGAGGGGCAGTGTGTCTCCAACGATCACCCAGCAGTCCCACCCACACCAAACCTGGCTAATGCCTACGTTTTTTTTGCGCAAGTACGGACGCCATGTGTGCGGTGTGCACAGGTCATCATGTGAAGGATGGAGACTCTGCATATTGGTGAGGGGAGCAAAAACACAAGAAAAACCAACGCAACAACAACCCCTAAAAAAAGTAAAAAACCCAGCACCAAAAGACCCCTTCAACCAACGTGGGCAGAGTTTCGCACTGTACTGAGGTGAGACTGGTGAGACATGAAAGATCGTTTAACCAACTAATCGGGTCTGAATTCACGAAATTTGCCATACAATGCAATGGGACATTGAGTTGCTACCCTTGAAGGCCATTCACCAGTGGCCTTCAGGAGCGGACAAGGGGCAGGTCAGCCCTTGCCAGGTTAGGTAGCAAGCACTTCAGCCATATTCGAATGCACGAAAACGAAGCGACCATACGCGCTTCCCCATGCCAAGTCACTTCATGTTAGCACGTGGAAGACTGCGATAGCGAGGATCAGCCATAGACGTTATCTCAAGGAGACCACCGAATTCGAAGAAGCTAGAGCACGACCTGGATACTACTCCACAATCAATCAAGCAAATCCCATCATGGCAACCCCTGAATCGGAACGAGCTGAGCACCGTGACGCAGTCACAGAGCAGGGCTCTGAGTCAATGGTGCACCCTGCCCGCGAAAGCTAGTCATGACCAAACCCCCAGTGTAGTAAGAGGACAATGATTAGCCCGTATGGTCAGAGCTCCTGCGCGAGAGGCCTCTTTCCAGGGCACTAGCCAGCATGGCTCTCCTTTTTTTGCATGATGGTGTGTGTGCAGAAACCCCAAACCAACAAACCAAACCCACCAAGGCCGCAGGCAAGGTTCGTACCTCAGGATGGCTGCGTCAGCCAAAAGAAGAGGTGAAACAGTGTGAAACAAGGGGCAATGAATTCATCCTTTGCGCTCAGTACGTCATCATCAGGTCTATGGCTGCTTTCTTGCCAAGAGAGGTAGAATCACTTCCCCTCGGCTTACGAGATCTGCTGCATTCTTCATACGGTGAGCTGTGGAGCCGACACACCCTGCTTCAAAAGGGGGCTTCATTGCACAGGCAGAGGTACTGCAAGACAAAGGTTGCAGGTTTGCATGGAAGGCAATCAAAGGCAATCAGAAAAACCGCAATCTTACTCACGAAAGTCACAGAGAATGGTGCGGACCATGCGAGACATTTCCGACTCAAGGAAAACAGCCGTATCAGCAATCGATAACTTCAAATCGTCGAAAGTATGAGACAGCGGAGCCATGTAGTCGAGAAAAGGGAGGTGCTAGCAAGCATGGTTCCGGCAGGCCCGCCTCCCCCCCCAGAGGGAGGGGGAGCAACAAACTTGCGCATCCACGATGCCACAGGTGACTTTGCGACGGCCTGAAGCTGTGGAGGCGAATTTGTGCACTGTGAACACTGTGTGGCAATGAAGGGGGCAGAGAGAGCAGTTGGCATGATGAAGGAGGGAATATTTGCTGACTGGCTTGCTCTTGAGCTCATTTGCGGATGAGGCTTGCTCTGAGTCGATGGTTTTTGTGAACGTAGGTGGGGAGGCACTCCTTTGGAATCTCTGAGAGAGAAGAGAGAAGGTCAGACACCACGAACTTTTCCTTTCAGGATCATGGGTTTTGTGAAGCCTGTTCATGCACAGAAGTGGCAAGGTCAGAGGATGGTGCTTGGAGCGTATTTGGGGGCCAGGTACAACACCGGTGGGGGTTGTTTGGTTTACCCTGTCTCTTTTGACTCCACGTCACCATGGTATGACGTAAATGTCTTGTTTCCTCTGCTTATGTGCCCCGTTGTCCAAAAAGGAGCGTTAGCTGTGTTTGCTTTTTTGATGGCGCCACATGTGGTCGTGAAGACGACGATGATGATGATGATGATGATGATACGATGATGAAAATGATGATGATGATGATGATGAAAATTGTGGTGGGACAGCTTAAGGTGGCAGTTGGTAGTGGCGTTTTACAGTTTTACGGAGAACTCTTCGCACATGCTTTCGGGAAGATCAAACCAAAAAACTGCTTTACCAATCAGCCAGCCGCATCTTGATTTGTGTTTGTGAGGATCCTTCCCTTTTTGTTGGCTTGTGCGTAGCAATGGCACAAAATCATGCAATGTTGGTCAGAAAAACATGGCTACATTGGGGGTCTCATCCCAACCATTTGGGTGTCCCTGGGATTGGGGCGAGGAGTTTCACAAACAAAACAGAAGAGGGGTTTTGTTTGGAACACAACCAAACTTGCATCCCTTCACCCATGCCACCGGCTGTGTCATTCATTGTGAAGGTGGCAACCCAAGATATCAGGTTGCTAATGTGAATGGAGTCTAGGAATATGAACGTGCGTGGAAAAAATTGGAACTTGCAAGTTTGTTTCCATGCGGTTTGTGTTGTGTCCTCTCCTACCTGACGCACACATTCAATGGTTTTCAACGTGTTTTGACAGACATGAACTTGCAGATTTTGGCAAAGCAAACGCGGGCAACGAGAGTCAATAGTCTCAGAAGGAACAACATTCTGCTGAACACATTGATGTCACGTTGTGTGATCAGATGATTCACTTTCAGGCAAACATATTTTTTTGAGCCATTAAACCGCTGCTTTGTTTGTCTCAACCAAACCTTTTCCAATGACATTTGTCCTTGTCCATGTTGAAAGGTGTTGTTTTGCCAAATAAGAACGGTTTGGTCAGGCAGCAACAGATGGGTGCTAGAAGTTGAATTCCCATGGAATGGGTAGATCACGCGTTAATTTGCAGGTGCTACGGTATTGGTTGAGAGGACGTTCGTGGGTCCCACATACCGAAACAACCCATATATATTCCAAACATCAAATACACATGGTTGGGTTCAGCCTGCAATCATGATTTTCTGCAGCATATGTGCCTTTCAAGTTCCACCATGGGCGAGGCGTGGCAAATGCTCCATGCGATTGGATCCACTTGGGCTGAAAGAGTGCTCGAGTTGGACTGATGGCGGGTGGTTCGAAAAACCGGGCCACCCCGCTTTTGACGGTTGCTGGATCCATACACCGTTGAACGGGTGCTGCCTTCCAGAGTTTGAATTTTTGGAGAACCATGACAAGATCAAAGGTGAGCCTGCACCAGTATTGTATGTTGGGTCTGGATTTGACTGTCACATACGGCTGCCAGGGACATTTCCATCCAGAATTTGTCGCTTCATGAAGCACAACAGTTCTTGGTTTCTTGAAGCTTTGCTTCCAAAGTACCAGATCCACTTGCAAGGGGCATCATTGGAAGTAGGTCAACAAGAGCCTCTGAAGGATGGAGACATTATCAATCTTCATCCCCCAGCAGATGATGCAGTGTATGTGATACATCTTGACTTTGCTGGCTCTCCGAAGAGCGGGGAGGACTACCCCAACAAATACCCTGCTCGTTTTCCATGCAGGCTCGAGCCTCGTGAAACGTCTTGGTGCAAGACAGTGGCATTTCCGGAATGAATGCTTAAGGCTCAAGGTCAATGAGTCAGAGTCATATTGTTTATTTTTGTTCCAAGGTTGCAAATGGTTTTTGTTTCCTTTCTTAGGTCTTCGTTGCTGGATGCTCCAGAAGCACCAGAGGAGCTCAGACGATTGGCTTGGCAGACAGACCAGATGCGTCGGCGCTCAGAGAACGACCAGGTGGTGAGGGATTTAAAATGCTGGCGTCAGTCGGCCAGAGGGTCAGTCTAAGCCCCTAAAGGTTTTGTACTTTGAGTGCTCACATCGGTTTACAGTAGATTTGATGGTTTCCCTGTGTAGGTGCGTGTTGCTGACTGGTCCAACTTTTCGCAGTATGTGAAGCAGCACTACCTGAGTCTCATCAGAATACCTTTAATTTATTGTATTTTGGCCTTGAGAAACACATTCCGCCATATGTTTATTTTTGGATACAATCTGCACAGGAAGCATGGTATTGAATGCACCTCGTGGAAAGAACAGGGTCGCGGCCGGCCTTGGGATGCCAAGCCAGCCAGTTTTCCTGCTCGAGCTCTGCCAAAGTGGATTTCTGAGCTGCTTGATGCGGAACAGCCTCTTGTTGGTCTCTCACACCGAGCCTTGCCGTTTGCGAGCGCCTTGCGGGCATCTGGCTATGAACCTTGGAGAGCCAATCACAATCTTTTTGTTGAAACCACCCACAAACAATTCTGGTGTGTTTGTTTCCAATCTTACAAGCCAGGAGGAAAGGCTACAAAAGCCAATGTCGGAACCTTTGTGTGTGGAGGGTGACGCAAACCTGGCTGATGCAGTTGAACCGGAGAGAGTTCTTGACCAAAGCCTTGTAGTAAAAGAGCCTCCTGTGGAAGAGAACCCATGGCTGCAAATGCCCATCCATGCATGGCTAGAGTCCATTGATGACTCTTTGTTCATGCTACAGTACTGCGAGCAAATTGTTTCGAATTTTGATTCGTTGAAGCAGATTCACGATATCTATTTTCGCGACGGCAGTTCTATTGATGCGCAGTTCTACAAAGCGGCAGGGATCACCAAGCTGGGACACAAGCGAATCATTGAGAAGTGGTTCAGGGAAAAATGCTCGAGTGAACAAGCAGCTGGTTCATGTCCCAAGCAGCTCAAGTGAAGATCCACGATTCAAGGCGAACCAGAACTACAACTTGACTCAGGAGCTCACCGCTCGCCTTCTCAATTGGTTGGAGCCTGAGACGAGAAGGCTACCAACAGAAGGCACCCTCTGAAGCTCCACAATTGATGAGATTCACAGAGACAAGGCCCTTCAGAGAGACCACAAGAGTCGTTGTTTGCCAAAAGAGGTCTTGATGATTCTTGTTGTGTCTTGGTGTGCATTCGATGTATTTTGTAACCAGCAACAAAGATGGCACTTCTATCTCTGCGTTGGCAGATGTAGCTGCTTCCTCTCCGCAGCATTCACAAGAGTCATGTTGTGCGGACCTGTTGCAATGGACATGGGGGCAAATTAGACAATCAGCATTCATTACTTTCAGCACCTTGAAACTGCAACACTGTGACTCGCTGCACTGGAAAAAGTCATTTGGAAACTGCAACCGGTCGCCGGCGGAAGCAAGCTAGGTACTGTAGCCCAAGGACCTAACACTTTTGTCGTTTTTCAGATATATGTCTCATCCTTCGCGGTAAAGCAGGACTTCGGAGAAACACAATCAGCCTCACGATTTGTGCATGCCATCCGTCATCCACTGAATAGCCTCCCCATCCTCACACTAATGCTGTCAGCTTCGTTGGCTGACCGGTGGCTCTGCCCTCTGCCGCAGAAGTTGAAAGGTTGAAACTATGTAAGGCTTCCCCTGGTCTCGGGCGGTTACACACTTGGGAAATTGCGTACTGGAATGACTTGCGGTTTGCCACTCGCCAGCCTAAGTAAAAGCCTAAGAGACCAGGTAAGAGTACATGTAAGACGGTCTGATCATGGCCAGTAAGTCTCAAATCCTCAAAGGCTCTAGAGTTACCAAAAGTTCCAAAGGTGACGAGTTCGACGACGAATGCATTAACCCCTGACAGCAGCAAAACCTCTTCATCCTGAAACAGCCTCCAAGACTCTAGAAAGGGATTGTGGTTACGAAGCATCAAAACTTGTAGGTACACCAGGTTGATCAGACGTGGCTTCCACCATCACGCATAGCTTCGTTGGCATGCGTTTGCGTGATGGCCGCATGCCCCCTGTGTAAAAAACCAAAAGGTTCCTTGTGACTCCAAGGGCTACACACACAATACACTCATGATAAAAACAACAGCGATCCATTGGACGAGGTAGGGTCCCAAGATGGCCTATGTTGCTTGGGAGTGCTGTCAGACGTTCTGGAGTATGTTTCCAAGATTGGACGAAATGGAAGGAATCGTTGGGCGTGTGTGCCACACAGATGGACGGTAAAGGAGTAAAAGCCTCCGGTAGGCCGGAGGAATCGTGCAGTTGTCCAAGACAGAAAAACACGTGCGTTTGTCGGTATCGTTTATCCTGCCCGGACACATCGTCGTAGGTTTCCACGATCTGCCACCGTTCACCTTAGTTCCCTTGGTTCTCCGACAAGCCACGGTTTGGCAAGAAGGACATGGAACATATTTTTTGAGTCGAACCTCCCCCAAAAAACAAAACAGAAAAGAACAGGATGAAAAGGAGGTGGAAGAAGAGGAGGGCGAAGGAGGGTGAAGACGAAGAGGGCGAAGAAATCGGCGAGAAGGAAGGCCAACCTGTGAGGGCTCTGAAGACGAAACCCGACAAGAGCCAAAGGTGAGCCTGAAAGACATGGAAGCAGGTAACAGCTGGAACCAGGTGCAATTGAGTCAAAGGAAATTCAGAAAACTTACGAAAAATTGGTTTAGGTGTGCCCAAGGGCAGATAGACCGGGAAACTGGGAAAAAGAGAGCCTTTTCCGAAAAGGCACGTGGAAAAAATAGACTGAATGCATCAGGAAAGGCGGTGCCCCAAGAAGGCTTATATCACTTGGAGTGCTGTGAGACATCCTGGCGTATAGTTCGACAGGAGGAGTCGTTGCATGGCTCCATAGCATGACAAAACCGGAGGAATCGCTGTATATTCTACACAAATAGATAGTGCAATGATAAGACTTTAAGGGGAGACAATGTGCCTGCTTAAGAGAGACCAGAGGATTAATGTGGTTCCACGGTCTCCTGCTTCTGCCGTAGTTAACCCTCGTTTCCTGGGTGTTCACACCCACATAGCATACTGGTTAATGGCATCATGCAGAAACATACCAGCAGAACGTCCCCTGAGGGTCTTGATCGTCCATCAACTCAAGATCGCAAGCAATACTTGTCACATATCACATCACATGCAGCCATGGATGCGTGGGATCCATTTTTGGACCCGGCTGATGATGGTCTTCCATGTGTGAAAGAGATTGTAAAAGTGGAGGTCACTGATGTGCCGGTGGATCTTCCTGTGGATCCCTGGAATGACAACACCTTCGTGGCCTTAGCCCAAGAAGCTGCACGTGAGGCTGAGGAGCGCTACGAAGCTGCATTGAAAGCCTTAGAAGCGCAGCAGGCTGCAGACTTGGAAGAAAAAGAAGCCAAAGAAGCTCGTCGACAAAAATTGGAACGTGAAGCAAGGGAGCTTGCGAAACTCAGCCCTCAGGAGCGACATGGTCATTTGGATGTGCGAGTATGAAGCACAGGGTTTAACGCACAGCCTTCACTTGCTTTGCATCCCTATCCAGGAGAGAAGAGAGAAACTTCTTGAGAGGCAAGCATATGCTGAGATGGCTTTGGAAGCGATTGCCCAATCCCCGGCAATCGCGATGCAAAGGATGGGCAAAGCGTGGTGCGTACATGCGGTCGGATGTGGTTTGAGACATTGAGACTCTTCTTTCAAGATAATATCCCTTTTAGTCGCAGGCACCTCGGAGGTCTTTGAGTCGTTTATCTTTTGGGTTTTATCATAATCCACCAGTAAAATATGATGGCTGGGATTCTGTGCCATTCATGAGTTTCTATCATGGCTTTGCTTTCGACTTCTTTGCATATTTCTTTTCAAGTCTTCACTCCAGGAAGTCCAAGCATCACCGGGACTTGGAGGAGCCAGAGGAGTTGGCCTTTGGAAGAGCTGCGGCAGAGATCGCTGCGGCGGAGATGGGTGTGAAGATCAACTTCAAAAGTAAGGATGAGGCGCTACAACTAGAAGGAAAGACAGGTTTAGAGGTCTACAGGCTAGTTCCTCTAAGCATCTGGGAACCTGCGCTCTACTTCATCCTTGCTAGTAGTAGGTTTCTTGCTACTTCTGGCTCCTTGAGCTACTAAATATTATAACTGCTTGTTTTTAGTCTCCTTCACACCGCCCACACCCACACTTTAGAGATTTTGTGACACAATGAAGCGGCATACATAAAGCGACATCGATCGTCGAAGTTGTTTCGGAGGCATCGCACGAATGCAATATCGAGACATTATCCATGCTGGCAAAGTGAACTGAATAGCGTCCTTGCTCCTAGTAGTAAGGCCAGGAGCCCCTAGTAGCGTCCTTGCTCCTAGTAGCGATGCCAGGAGCCCCTAGTAGCGTCCTTTTGCAAAGTGACCTGAAAGTCAAGATCTTTGGCCAAAAGAAAGTAGCTCTAGATCCAAGTGAACGCATTGCTCAATCACCGCTCAAAGGCAGTCAAGCTTATTCTTGTAGGCCACTCGCCCTGTGGCTTTGCTCTTCCCAGATCAGAACTCCAAGAGTCTCAAGATGCTCAAGGGTCTTCAGGAGACACTTAGAAACAACAAGCTACTAGTAACAAGTGCATCGCTACTAGTAACAAGTGCCTTACTAGTAGTAACAAGAAGCTATTAGAAACAATAAGTCTCAAGATGCTCAAGGGTCTTCAGGAGACACTTGACACTGCGACCTGCCCTTTGACAGTTTCCGTCTCGATTTTCTCTTAAGCCCGGTCTTGCTCGCTTTTGGAACACTCCAGGAGCTGCCAGAGGCCCGACGTTTTAGAGAGACCGCACGGGAGCTTTTGGGCTTTGATCCTCTGGATGGCCCTGGCGTCTTGGGTTTCTACGAGCTTCTTCGCGGGCCGGAAGGCCGGATAATTTGCAAAAACTTGGAGGTATTTGGAACAACTCTTGAATCAGTTGAATCATTTTTTTCAGGATCTTTGCATTTGCTTTCTTCGCTTAGATTCTGATGCATTGTAGTCTGAACACTTCTTACATGTTCCCCCAAATGGCCCACTCTTGGGTCAGTGTTTGTGCCAGGTTGGCTGGAGCACACGCAGTTCTGCTGCAGTCTTAGATGGCAAGCTTAAGTTTGAGAGTTTGATTGTCTTGCCCAACATTCTAAAGGTATAGTAAGTAATAAAAGACACAGCAAAGTTTGTTTACAAAGGGTGCTGTGTTCTGAGATTGGGTTCAAGAAGCTCAGTTTTGTCCCGTGCCATGACTTGGTGGAGTTTGAGTATAGTATTCGCTCCTGTTGCTGCTGACTTTCGATTGCCAGCCGCATTTGAGGGTACATGGCAAGGAGTGCCCTATGCAAGTGTTGTCGGTCCTTGGTCGGAAAACTTCACTTTCTCCATTTCAAAGCTGGACACCGACTATTTGTTTGAGGCGAACTTGCCCTTCGATGCATCCCCAGAATTTCGACCGTATTGGAGTTGGCAAAGATCATACCTGCAAGTCTCGGGTGAGGATGAAGGCCGGCTTTTGCACTGTCCTGGTCCTCGAAACCCTCGGCTCAAGCGCGTTGCTATGATGCAAGCCCATTCTCCAAGTGAAAAGGAAGTGACTTTCTGTCTGAAGAAATGGTCTGGTTACAAAGACTTCGAGCATCCTTTTCCATTCAGAAGCTTGGATTGCTACACCTCAGGCTCACTTGAAGGCTGTGGCTGCTTCAATTGGACCCTTCGCATGGATGGAGCTGGAGATGCTTTGGACTATCAGGTGTCTATGTCTGGGTCTCCAGACCACGAGCACTCGCGCCACCTGTGGGCAACGCTGCACAGGATTCCGTTCATGCCCTCATTGGATCTGGTTTTTCCTGGGAAGGGTCGGGACTTCACCTGCGACTACGCTTCTCGTGACGAGCACCAGACCCCACTTGCAAGCTGCCCTTTTGCCCAGAGCTATGTGAAGCCACACAGATTGTCAAGCTTTTCAGAGGGCAACTTTCAGCATTGCTACAAGTTGGATATGAAGACAGAGTTCGTGCTAGAGTGGGACATTGACTCCCAGAACTCTGCACTCCACGTGCAAATTTCAGCTTCATCCCAGCTTGCAGAATACGTTTCGATTGGCTTTCGTCCCTTGGGAGGTTCTTCGAGCAAGTTGGCCAGAGACGCAGGAACCGGCTGGGGGCTTAGTCGTTGGATGTCGTTTGTAGAGTCATGTCATGTTACATGCTACACAAGTTGTATTCACCGGAAGCTGCAAGTGCCGGGTCTGGAAAGAAGTTTTTTCAATGAAGCAAACGCTTGAAACTCCTTGTTTGATGCGTTTTTTGGTTTACTTCCAATCAGGCTTTGTTGTCAGAACTCTGTTGGGTTTGGTCCTCGATGTGGCCCTCTTCAAAAGGGCACCCTAGCTTTTGAGTATTCTTGATCCTAGACATTTTGCTCTGTGAAACCTTGACAAAAGATACAGCTGGGAGTGCAAGTACATTTGTTTTTCCTTTGTCAAAAACTACTCCACGAATACTCTGTTGAAGGCCAGCTAGGTTTGTTGGAGAAAAGGGCCGCCTTTGTCAACAAAGGAATGTCTTGGGGATTGTGGAGGTGATAATTCACTCAGTCTCAGAAGTGAGTTTCTCACTTGGAGACATCGAGAGGAATTACATGACACCAACAACACATTGAACTCAGGTCGGGAGGAGCGCTTTGGCATGGCAGGGGCTGACATCGTCTTGGGGCATTCTAGTGGAATTCGCCAGTACTACGCAGCCACATACTCTGGAATGCCGATGCCAGATGATTCTCTGCCCATTTCAAACGGCCTTGTCCAAAACAAGAATGGGCGTCTCTACTTGCAGTTTCGTCGGCCGTTGGTGGGAGGACGCCTCACACGATTGGGCATCAATGCCTCCATTGCTTCCGATGTGGCCGATATGATCTGGGCCATTGGGAAGTGGGATGCTAAAGGTGAAGCACCCAGATATCATGACGTCCTTCGGGGTTGGAGAGAGGTAAACTGGACAGATCCAGAGCTTGACTCACGACCGCTTCTCTCCTTGCGCCCGTACAAGTGCAGTCAGAATGTTGAAGTTGTCTATCCTTAAAGCGAGGAATGCGATAAATCGTGGGATTGACCAGAATCCGAGTGCACCAGTATCCTTCAGTGATCCACACAGAGTCCAAGTTGTTTTTTGTACAGGTTAAAGTGTACAGATGCCTCCCTGCTGTGACCAAGCGCAGCCAGAGCATCACAACTCATGCTGCGCACAGAATGATGTGCAGAGCCAGTCGGGGGTCAAATAGCCACATGTGTGACAGAATTGTTCATGTCTGAGTGACGAGTTCCTGAAACTCCATCTTCGAGATTCTTTGAGCATTTTAGCAAAGGTCAGCCTGTGATGTACGTGGCCCAGGTGGCCGCTGTGGAGAAGCTCCGGGACGGGCAGTCTAGTGATAGTCAAACCTTTGGCACCATTGAACACTTGCGAAAGGCAACGCATTCTTTTAGCCGAGAGATCCCAGATGAACCAGTTGTTCCAAACGCGTAGGACAAGCGACCCGGTGCTCTGCAGCGGTGCAAAGCCGTGGCGGGGCTCTCACTTGGAGACTATGTGGGGTAGCTCAGTCACTCGAGGGTCTGAGGGAGGGGGGCCACAACAAGTAACCAATGTGAGTCTGATGTTCTTCACTCACAAGTTTGCATCAGAAGGACTTAGGATGCCGCTTCCACTCCGGGCTACAGTGACATATGACAGCCATTTTGGCTCTAGGAAATATGGAAGCTACAACATTGCGCGCCTTTGGCAGCTATTTGGCCAACGAGCTCTCCAGACTGGAACAGTTCTATGCCGAGTACCCATTTACCACTCTGCTGTCTGAAGGGTGGCGCGGTTTCAGGTGGGAGAAGCTGGAAGGCAAAGGCAAACACCTCGCGGAAGCAGTGAAGGAGATCTATGATGAGTACTACGCCAAGAAGGGTGCTGAAGCAGTGGCACATGAATTGGGTCTTGCCGCCCCTTGGGCGGCATTGGCCGCCTGCGATGACGGCTTTGAGCCTTGGGACATCCTTGAGGCCCTCCTTTACACGGGAGGGCACATGTGTGCCAAACGGTTGCTCAACGACGACATCAAACTTGGAGGACCTCATTTCAGCACCGTGATGACTGCCGAAGCACACAAGCCTCTCTGCAGCAAAGAGTTTGCAAAGTTGGTCAATGAAATGAAGGATCAGGCCAATGAATATGAAGTCCTGGCAGCTTTCCAGCATTGCAACGGGGTTTGCTTTTTTGCAAAGAGCCTCTTGTTGAGGCGAGCAAAGGGGGTGCCGCTTGATGACAAAGTCCTTGCGGATGCCCGAAAACTTGGCTTGTTAAACGAATTAAACATTTTATCTCGCTACCCTAGTATTCAAGGAAGAAATATAACTGGTGGCGAGATCCTCAACGCACTTATTGTGCGTGAGGGAGCCATTTTGAAAGCCAGGCATTTTCTTTGTAAAAGGCCGATTTAGGGGGACCGCAATCGCAGATTGCAGAATCAGCCGCCATGCGGGGCGAATGCCATGGTGAGCTGGAGATTCGTTGGGAGCGATTGCCAATTGAACAGGTTGACCGCAGCTACATGCCAGAAAGATAGCTTGTGGCAGTGGGCGTGTGAGCTGAGTGTAGTATGCAGCGGCGCGACATAGTATGCAGTATGCACTGAGTTGCTAAGCATGCAGCATCATGAGCCACGCGTGTGCCCATTTTGGGAGGCTGCACTGACCTTTGCTGGCGTGTGGGACTTTGAGACAGGTCTTCGTGCCACCCAGCTGCGGGGTGAGCTCATGGAGGCTCACAATAGCGGGCACCGACTCGGTCGATGACGAGTTGCAAGACGAGATTGGAAGAGAGCTAATAAATCCAAAGTAAAGGAAGGCAACTTGCTTTGTAACTTGCTATGTGTTGTTTTCTTCCGTGAATCACAGGCAGCCATTGCCACGATACCTCAAGCTGCAGTGGCTGTTGCTGGCTTGACAGAGGCATCCGTTTGTTGGTTGGCCAAGCACTGGACACAGCCACCGTTCACCTCATTCGCCATCCACTTGCCAGGAACGCATCAGTCAGCTCTGTGAAGAATGTCGAGAGCACCTTGTTTGAGCATTTTTGAGGTGGCCAATGTTCAAGAGGCATCACTAGACAATTGAATGGATATATATACATATTACAAATATAGTCGACCCGGTTGATTGTAATGCGCGCATCTTGCAAATTGAGGTCTTCTATTTGTGAGATCGCTCAGCGACTCTTTCCCCAAGGCCTGATCTCTTGGCGCACCAGTTGAATTGAATGTAAGGATTTCTGGTTGGGAAGCTACTTCTGTTCTTCTTACGTAGCTTCAATAGAGCTGTTTTTTGTTGGTTTCTTGACAGCCCTTTGGCTTTTAGTAGGGCACAAAGATGTGCTGCGACAATCATTTTTGCAGGTTATGTTTGCTCCGGCTCTTTGGAAGCAATCGAAAGACTGATGGATCGTGCGAGGAGAAGTCAAGGTTGCAAGCAGGTGGGGTGAAGGGAGCTGGAGTTGCTGTGCAAGCTTCATTTGAGCATGGTACTGTCAATGCTCCTATGCTGATGTCCGTTCTGAAGAGATTCCTCAAAAGCTCCTGACTATAAACGTGGTAGGAACCACCTGCTTTAGAGGTTCGGGAGTTAAGACATCCAAGCTGGCTTTTCCTAACAGGTGCAGCTGCTGAAGCTTGCAGGCTCCTTATAGAGGTTCAGAGCTGTGGCCCTTTCGATTCTTTTCAGAGTTCCTGGATGGACTGCTTTATGAAAAGGTTACCTTTAGTATCCTTTAGTCCTTTGAGTGCCCTGTCGATATCCCTGTGAATCAATAAGGCTGGCGCTTGTCACACCAGATTGATGGCGTCTGCCAGAGAAGAGTTGCTCAGACCTGAGCCTCAAGCTACTGGAGCATCAAAAAGCACCACCGAAGTGCCCTTAGACCACCGAAGCTTCATTTTTGACGTGTAAGGTTTGAGTTCCTTCAAAGCTTCAAAAGCCATATGCGCCCACCAAGGCAGGGGTTTGTGGATTGCCATACTTTGCAAACAGATTCAAGCTTTGCCTTGGCACGCTTAGTCAGCAAGTTGCAAGCAGTTTTGCTGCAAGCACTGCAAATCCGTCAGTTTTGCTTGCCTAATCATACCTTCCTCATGGATTGACAAACTAAGTGCTGAAGTTACTGCTTGCATTTGCGCACGTGAATGCAGGATTGACGTGTATTTGAGCTGCGGAACAAAGGCTCCGGGGATCCAAAAGTCACGTGAAACGTGTGTTTCACATTGCTACTAGGAACAAGTGCATCGCTATTAGGAACAAGTGCATCGATTCTAGTAACAAGTGCCTTACTAGTAGCAACAAGAAGCTAGTAGGGGCTCCTGGCCTTACTACTAGGAACAAGAACGCTTTTCAGTCCCTTGGGACAGAAGACAAACAGGTTCCCGCCGGCAGCTCCATCGACAGCTTGCCAGAGCTTCTGGCGGATCAGCAAGGCCCTCAGAGCAAAGGTGTGGTGACCCGGAGCAAAGGTCCGGATATGGAGGACCAACTCCTTTTGGGGATCTGAAGATGAAGGTTTCTATTGGAGCTGGTGCAAGAAGAATCCACCAGTCTGGGCAGGACCCATACTTGTTTTCCCTCTTCTAGGACTTGTGTGCGGTTTGCCGTTGGCTTGATAGGTTTCGGTTTCACTGAGAACTACTTACCGACGGACACCAAGGCTGAGGAGTCCAGCAAACTGGGTGGACTCGATTGCCCAGATGCTGCAGGAGTCTTTGGAAACTCAGATTATCTCAGATTCTTTTGAAGAGGTCAAGGGTTCAGGTTTTCCTGTGCCCCAGAGACTATCATTGAACTTCCTGCCTAATAAGTGTGGGCCATAATCACGAAACAGAGAGCAGGAGGCACGACTCAATGCTTCATGATCAATACATCGACACCGCTGTGTTTGGTGCCCGACAACAACAAACAAAAGTGTGCACAGTTTGTGCCACGACGGGAATCGGCATGACTTGACCATGTTTCCCAGAAAGGGCAACACTTTCAGACAGCAACAAAGCTTGTTGTGCTGCCTCAGTCGCTCTCTCTCTCTCTCTCTCTGTGTCTCTCTATTTTTTATCTCTATTTTTCTCTAATTGTATAGTGTGACTTTAGTGCTAGTGCTAGCGTCAAAGTCCAGTGTTTCAGCATGCCCTTGAAGCTGAAACAAGCGGCAGACACGATCCCAAAGAAAAGGACGCAAGCAGTATAATATGGGCTAGGGGCCTTGAAAAAGGAAGCTAACAGCAGATGACTGCTGATGAGATTGTAGTCGCTAGATGCTTACAACTCAACTCAACCTTGAAGCTTTAGAAAGAGGCCTCTCTTATTGGCTGGGAGCACCAGGAGAATGTGAAGTACACCTGCTTTTGTGCCACATATTTGATGCACAGGATGGTTGTGGTGAGTTCTATGAATGTGGACCGCTTCGCACTCGGCAGACCGGGGCTTGCCTTGCTTGTCATTGAACCTCCGCGAGAAACCGAGGTTGAACCAGCTGAAGTGTATCATGAAGCGCATCGATGCCAAGGCCCACAAGGCCTTGCAAATCAACGCACACAGCTGGCTCTGGAACTGCGGAAGGAACTGCTTTTGACCACGCTCTCGGTGTCCTCTTATTGATGATTTCAGAACATGATATACTGTAAGGTATAATCTCATATAGTCTCCATGCTAGAGGGTGGAGGCCATTGCTTTTAGGTTGGAGGCCATCGTTAGTAGGTTGGAGGCCATCGCTTCTAGGGTGGAAGCCATGGCTATTAGAACATGATAAGGTATGATAATCTCATGCAGTCTCCATGCTAGAGGGTAGGACCTGGTAGGACTTGTTGACCTGAGGCCACTGTATCGTTGGACGTGTACAGTGAGAAGCTGAGGAATTGGAGCCGTTTATGCTCAGGTGGATGACCAGCATCCCAATTCCAAGGTGAGGAGTCGCAGATGAAGCCGTCTGGAAGTTTGCCACCACGCTGGGCCAGAACCTGACGGCTTTGTGTTCAATTCTTTGTTTTGGAGTAATTTGATTCTAATAGCTTCTTGTTACTGCTAGCGATGCACTTGTTACTACGAGTGTCAGAGTCAAAGCACTAGTAGCGAACATTGTTTCTATTTAAGATGACCCTTTGGCATCCCATCACTGTAGCTTCTTGTTTCTACTAGCAGACATTGTTCCTAGTAGTAGGGCACTTGTTACTAGTAGCGATGCACTTTTGTTACTAGTAGCGAACATGGTTTCTATTTGCTGGCTTCACTTCAGAAACAACGCACATCCATAGCTTTTGTTGATGTTGAAATGGGCTTGATGCGGGGGTTGCTTGTTCATGGCCCATCCTGCTGCAAAAGTTCTGGAAGAGGTTGCTGTGGTGACGGAATTGAAAGACATTCGTTCAATGTTTTGCTTCAATGTTTTGCCGAGGCTGAAGGTTCTGCAGGTTGTCTCAGCTGATGGCCGTTCGGAAAAGCGTGCAATCTGCGACTTGTTTGATGACTTCATTACTAATAACACGTGTTCTGCACTTGTCGAGCTGGTAAAATTATTATGTATATAAATCATTGCGTTCTCCAAAGCATGCCTCTCGACTTGGTCTTTGCAAACGTGTGCGCGCTCAAAGAGCTTGTCTGTAGGTAGGTTTTGCCAGTGTAAATTCGAGTCTCTCAAGCCTATCATAGTCTGGATATATACTAATAGACATGTGCATTCATTGAAAAGACCAAAAGCAACGTATTTCCAACAAGCAACTTTTGTCCGATCACCCCAAGCGTCACCACTACATAGAGCGCCTTTAGCGCCAGCAGTTGTTCTGCCATGGGCTCAAAGCCATGCCTGAGAGAACAGCGGCAGGCGACAAAGGCTCGAACGAAATGAAGAAGAGCCAATAGGACAAGCTAATGAGGTGAACTGTGAACCGCATTGTGCTTGCAAAAAAGAAGGACACTATATAAAACTCACATCATCAATTTTGCCAAGAGTTGCACGCCCATTTCTTAAAAACAGGTGCATGCCAATCAATGGCATGCTTGTTTGATTGTGGTGTGGGTGCGTGTTGCTGAGAGCACATGCAGTGAAATTAAACTAAATGTACATGCATCGCACGTAGGAACTGGCATAGCTGCGACAGGTGCAGCTGCTGACCGCGCTTCCTCTGGTATTCTGCTAGAGGTGCCGAGACTTACCAGTAGACGCCAGATGACGCCAGTGCTTTCTTTCTGCCTCCTTGTCCTTTTCAATCTAGAAATCTAGAAAAGGCACTTATTTTGGATTTGGAGCAATTACTCATTTCAAACTTAACAAGCAGGTAGCCTGAGTTGTCAGAGGCCCTGCAAGCTGGAAACTATCGCTGTGACAGCGGCTAGGTCCATAACAGTTGACCGTTGATCCATGTCAGCACTACCTCAGGTTGCTCATGGATTTGGGTCGCATGCTGGCAAGATCCGTGATGCACTGCTCTTTGGTGACTGAGCCAGCAGATTGTTTGACAGTTGCATCCTGCAGCACTTGTGAGTCAGCACCTAGCCCAGCTGAGGAGACATCGCCGGGCAATACTTGGCGCATGTGGTCGGTCGGCAATTGGTCTTCCGAAATCTCTTGGGGGGTGAGGCCAGGTAGTGCCTTCCTCCCTTGCTTTTTGACGCGGTCGGCAGTAGCTTTGTGCCTATGGAACACGAAGGACTTCACTCACCAGCAGCTTGTTCATGCTTGTTCTCGTTTCACAGGTTGGCTTTGCAGCAGAGAAAGGGGACATTCAGGCAAGGCGATCGCTGGTGAACCTGAATGAAAAGCTAGAGAAATAAGTTCAGCGAACACTGAGTGGACTGAATGGCTGGAACCCGGCTGGACCCGATGGTGCAGGTGATCACGGCCTGTGCTGCCTCGCGAGACCGATCCTTCTTGGCCGTGTGCCGCAGTGCCATGGAACGTTGTAGCATCTCCATCTATGAGTTGGGACCCCATGCCACCAATCGGCCAGTGCAGACGCTGGAGGTCAGAGGGTCTGCGAAGAAGTTCGGGAAGAAAGAGATTTGCCACAGAACTTCAAAAACTCTGAGTGCAAGTTTCATTCCATGTCGACTCACTATAGACAGAGTGTAAACAGTCCGGTTTATGCACTCTGAAAGAATAGTGAAGGAGAATGAACGGATTGCAATTATATATAACATTCGATTCCACTCTTTTTTGGGAAATACATTGAAACACATCATGCGTATTCGGCTTCCCAAGCTCCCCAGCAGGAATTGCATGGGCGCGATGGCCCCGTGGGTCCCTTGAGTGCAGTGGCCTTCTCCTCTGCTTCAATCGCTAGTGGAGTGGCGGAGGATTCCAATTGCAGGCACTGGATGCCTGTGAAAGGGATCCAATAGAATCAGAAGATCAAAATCCATGCAAACAGCAAGTTGTGGAAGCCACCCTTTTTGTTTTTGGAGGGAAGTTACTTGTATGCGAGGACAAGCTTTCAAGGACTTGAGTTGAGTACCGCTTCTTTTTCCTCCCTCCTATCAGAACCTTAAGGAGCAACCACATGATTGATTAACTAAACTGGTTGGGTTGAAGGACCTGCTTATCCTGTCCTAACTTTGCAAGAAGGTCGAGAGGGGGCGACCTACTCTCGACTTCATTGCCATCCTGTCCCCACTTATCCTGTCTTATCCTGTCCTAACTTTATTCTCGACTTCATGAAGCCCATCGAAATCGATGAGACACAATTCTTGGAAAAGACAGGACCTTCGCGTCGGGCGTGTCAACTGGTGGGACCTTCAAACCAGATCGCTGCTGGGTTTTGCTCCCATTGACAATGGACAACTCAAAAGTAGTGTGCCGAGGATTTGTTGGGCATGTGCCATCTACTGTATGTGAGCGTGTTTAGAATGATCGTTTAGAATAGGGAGAGCCTCCAATCCAATGCGTTTTAGTGTACTTGGCAGTCTCCCAATTCCAACACACTTCCATATCTCAAACAGCTCCAGGCTTTGCGTGTCCTCCACAGGGCACTACGCACAGATCATCGTCTTGGATTGGAGACTCAATGAGGTCATTGGCCGCTTTATGATTGAAGAGCCTCTCACGCGGAGCCTTGGGAGCAGAGGATACATATATATATATATATATTCATGTACATATATTTAAATCTTGAGTTGTGCAGAAGACAGAGAGAGTGTTTGGAAGAGAGAACGTTGAACCCCATTTTGGAGCCGGATGCTGTGATCCAAAAAGGACACCAAATGACGCTAATGAATGTTTGCTTGACTTTTAAGGATCGCTTTCAGTACTCTGGACTCAGATATTATTTCCGGCACTGGGCCAAACACCTTCGAGCTCTGGCTGTTGAAGTCTTCATCTCAGTTTTTCCTGAACAAAACTTGGAAGATGCTGTTTGCCTTTCAGGGACTTCACCTCCTCTCCGGAGGAGTCAGAGAAGCTGGAATCCAAGGCAGACTGCCAATACCAGCAATACCTATGCGGTAAACGACCACATTTGATCAGAACGCTGTGGCCAGTGGGCAGGAGATGATAACGCTGCAGCCAGTTGAAGAGCTTGTTGATCACTTCGCTGCCACTTTTATGGATCATGCGTGGCTCCAGCCGGCGCCACTGAGACTGATCAGAGGTGAGTCAAGTGGAGTATGTCTAAACGTGCTTGAAAAAATAAGCAAACCGCTGCTCAAGCTGTGCCAAGTGTTCAATCCCAGGAACGGCGCGCTAGCAATCTGCACAGAGCAGGCAACTGGCCTATTGGGAAGTTTCCCAACAAATCTAGGAACAAGGACACTACTAGGGGCTCCTGGCCGTACTACTAAGGGCATTTCTACTAGTGTGAGCGCTTCTTCAAGGAAGCTACCTCAGGTGGGGGGAGCTTCCTTGAAGAGAAGCGTAAGCTATCCTGTTTCCTACCTAGAAGCCAACTTGGCCTTGTAGCTTACTCTGACTCTTCCTTCCTTGATCAAGTAGGCGCCTACTTAATTAAGTAGGGAGGGGGGAGGTCGGCCGAAAACATAGAGGAATCAGGACATATCGGTCGAGACCAAGGGCGCTGACAGCTTCTCAGAGCCTGTTTGATCCTTTGCGGATGTTCACCATGTTCGTGTGCAGGGAGCTGTGGACATCATCTCCAGTGGCCTTGATGTGGAGGAACCCCGCGTTGAACGCAGCGGAGTCCTTCTGCAAAAACGACAACTTGAGACGCTTGGTACGATGACCAACACGTCCCAGAAAGATGGTTTTAGATGAGCTGCAGGATGTAGAAGCCAGAGCTCACGCAGATGTGGATCCAGTGCCTGAATTGCAGATCTTTCTTTTCTCACGTGGAATGACTGGACCTTGTTGATCACTTTTGAAAAAGCTTCAAGCATAACTTGATTTACAGTAGCACCGCTTGTGAGGAGCATGCTGAAACATTTGAAGCTACTATTGACTCCCTGAGAAGATCGTGAGTCTAAAATCCGAATTGAAACCATACTTTCTTTGGTGCTCCAAGCATCCTGAGATATGTCGTAGCAGGCTCAGGCTATCCCCTGTCTAAACATTTGAACATCTCCGTCCCCTGAGATGAGACTCATCCCCAAACTGACAATGTGTCTCATTGGTTTCATTTTTTAAACCATGTTCACTGAACTGCTCAACCCACATCATGTCGCCAGGTTCCATACTTCGTTTGCCACATCGAATGTCCATTTGGCCAAGTGCTTGCCGGGCTACCTGCCTCCTGCATTCAGTCTTTTGCGGGTGGCTTTGTCGTGGCCGGAGCGCAAAGTCACATCGCTGTATGGCGCATGGAGGCGGATGAGGCCAGCAAAGGACAAGACAGATTTACATATATATATATATATATCTAATACAAACAAGTATATATATATATTTGTAAAATGGTTGGAGCCACAACAATCAGATGCAATGTGCGAAGTCCAGTGCTATCCAA